CTTACATACTCACAGGGACAGCATACAAAAAGGGATGAATACACAGATGCAAACAAAACACTGAATTACCATTATGGAAATTAATTTTAAGAGTCACAAAGCATATTATTCCTGGAAATTGCTTTTATTTAGCAATTATGTTAACACCGCAAGAAGGCAGCTGGCATTGAAAACAAACAGTTCAATTTAAAAATCAGGGAAGTGAATTAGCTGAAATTTCAGGGCACTCACACCTGAATACACTCCACTACCTCGAAACTTCAAGAATCCTCAAAGGCTTAGGTTTTTGTTTGTTGAGGAGTAGAAGAAAGGGGATAAAAGAGTAAGAGAAACTGTTTATTTTTGACGTTATTTATAAGTTTTTGCAAATCAAAGTTAAACCCTGACAACCAGCCAGCAGGGAAAAAAAACTGAAGGAGTCAGTGACAATACTGAGATATTTTAATTTTTTTTTTTTTTTAAGGTGTCCCGTCGTCCCCCCCCGCCCCGTAAAATGGCTTGTACTTCCACAGGTACAACAAAGAAATTATTTCAGTCCATTTCACATGGTGTGTATAAAAGACCAATTTTACAAATATACCCAGAAGTTTTAACAGCTGCTAACACTGTTTAAAAGTAAACATCACTTCTCTGTCGTAAAGGGCTCGCTGCGTGAACAAGACTTTTCCTACTGTTGTGCCACAAGAAGGAGCGTTCCAGGGGCTCTCCGTCACATCTTTAATCCGAGAGGAAAGTGATACCCATCCCTAACCACCGTGACACAAAACAGAAGGGACTTCCAGGTGACTCGAAGCCTGGCTTGCCCACCAGGGAAGTACAAATACGCCCCATTAAAAGGAAATCTTGGCAGCCACCAGTTTTGCCTGTTGTCCAAGCAACTTGTAGTTTTGGTCCACTGCCAATTAAATGAAAACACTGATCAACACAGAAAGTAGAGCTCGGTCTTTACAACCCAGAGGCTGACTCTACTGTTCTTTCCAGACCAAAGTGTCTGCTGCAGTCAATGGGATGAGGTTTGCAGAGGGCCTCCAGAGCTACTGCGACTTCATCCTAGAAACTACCCCCACCTCCACCCCCCACCCCCCAGAAGACAGCCTTACCTTTTAAGTTTTTTCCTTTTAATTCACAACACCAAGTGCAGAGACTTGTGAAGAGTGCTTATAAAAAAAATCAAAACGAGAAAACTCTGTAAAAGACGTTTGCAACTCCAATTTATATTTTCCTTGAAGAGATAAGCAAGCCTGAAGGTATCTTTTTAATTCTCTTCCTTGTTTTCTTTCCAAGCTGTATTTACTTGTTTACCTGCAACGACGTGGATAACTAGAAAATGAGAGGAGCCAAGAACTCACAAGAGGCTGAAAACTGAGCAAACAAGGAGGAGGAGGAATGCTTGGCCAGAACACTGCGGAACAGCTGGGCTGTCCCCAACTATTCAGCACAAGCACCGAACAGACTTCTGTTCCTACCTGTGCCGATCAACAGCTCAGCCTGCCGATTCCACCTGGCATCCAACGCCGCATGTTAACAGCGGTCTCGGGGAAAACAAGACTTAACCACCCATGACAGAGCGTTCCTTTACAAAGAGCAGACAAGCACAGCTCATTTCAAAAGCGTATCTGCAGCTCTTAAACAAGAGCAGGAACCAAGCCCGGTCAGTTTTCCTACCACACTAAAACTGCATTTAAATGCCTCTATCAGGTCTCATGATGGCCGGATCACTGCCAACAGTTCTCTGACCCCAGAAGAAGTGTCAAGACTATGAGGTGTATGAACAGAAACGTGACAGTCTTAGAGAAGCTTCCTTCCATTTCCAGAAGAATGAAAAAGTGGTGAGCGAAGCAATCGGCTACAGCAACAGCACTAAAGGGAGAGTTACCACAGTTGAAACCAACAGTTTCTTTTGGGTGGTGTGTGGAGTTAGAAAATAAATACGTTCTCTTCAGAGACTATTGCAGTTTCTCACTATGATACACTCAAACTCTTCTCCTCGCTCAGGCTCTGAAGCAGAACCTTTAAATTCCAGGAACTGCCATTAAAACAGCAGAGTGCTTTGTTGGGAAGATCACAGCTTTTCCATGTCATCCCGGAGCTTCTAACGAAGCGAGGAGAATCCTTTCTAGAGCATGAACCAGGTCTGCAAGCAGGAACAGCTACCATCACATTTCTGATGGGTTCCTGGCATGCCTTTGCTTCAAGGTGGTTCTGTCCTTACTGGAAGCAGCCCGACAATAGCTTTTGTCTCTCCTGAGCCCCATTCCCACCCCCACAAAGAAAAAAACCCACCAAATCCTCCTTTAATTACTCTGCCAGTACAGTAGTAATACTGTACCCTGAGGCACGAAGTGGCCACACTTGAAAAAAATTCGTGATTAAAATGCAGTGTCATGCTAACTCTTTTGTACAACTTGGACCACAACTCAAGTAAGAACAGTGCTTACCAAGCAGTCATCTATTTAGACTTCAGCACTCTATCAAAAAGCTGCCAGGAAAAAGGAAAGTGTTACAGCTCCAGCATGCATGGATGTGACAGATTTTTCTTTTTTTAAAGACCAGGCTAGAAAAATACTCTTAGTTATAAGTTATGCAGTCAAAGCTGGTTTTGAAGCATTCAAATAGAATCAACAGTAACAGGTGAAGAAATCCTTACAGAATACATTGCCAGCATTTGAAATGGTATGCAAGAAATATCATAACACTGAAATTATAAACTCTCAAAACAAAGTTTGAGGGTGGCTCTCAAGTTTACTGACTCCAAATAGAACTGGTCTTATTTATCTAGAAACACCTTTCTCCTACTGAGTTACCAGACCACTGAAGGTGTGTGTTTACACACAAGATGGAAGGAGAAAAGGGTTAAGCAGCCAAACAGTCCTTCGTTTGATCAGAGCAGCGTGTGGCAGTACTGTTTGAGAAAAATAATGCTACAAACTCTCCTGCCTTCCCAGTAAAGCCAGCTCTGCGGAACTCACCCCAGATTTCAAAACACCTGGATTTATGCAAAGGAACTGTGGAATTGTTTCCCAGATAAGAGTAGAGTTTTCCTTCCTGCAGCATTTCTTGCATGATACAGAACTGCCAACAGTGAAAGAAAGAAAACTCTCACTCAAAACAGTCTTTTCAAACGGACACTTCCCTCAGATACAAACCATTAGGCAGCCTTCCACTTCATGTATTCCAGACACACCACAACCAGATGGTGCGCCAGTATTTCCAGTGAAGATTCCTCTACCACTGCACATTCACTGTGCACAGGGGGCAGCTATACGAAGCCCTAAAGCAGCAATTAAACTGTAACAGCAAAGGAAGAAAATAAAAGAAGCTCGATAACGGAGATGTCTGGGAACCTGCACATTCACAGTCCATTTATACTTAGAGAAAGACTACACATGCAAGTCCTGATCAGCTCAGCAACACAGTTGCCACCCCAGGCCTGTGAAGCTGTCATACAGGGAGCTCAAGACCTCCGGCCACCAGAATTAACACACAGGGCTCATGGCCTTAATTCAACAAGGAACAATTCCTGAAAGTGTGTTTTCATAGCATCTCTTGTGAGAAATAGAGTTAAGTATTTCACAGAGTCCAATAAGAACGAGGTGGAGGTGAGACTGCCTCTCGCAGATGAGGTATATGCTAAATAGAAATAATGCTGCAGTATGCATATGGGACCTGAGGAACTTGTACTGAATATCAACAAGGAAGAGGCACCTTCACGTTTATGACAGAAACCATGACAAGGAATTGAAGGCCAAAGGCGTTTCTTCCCTGTCTGGCTGGGCTGCCACTCTTGATGAAGATTAGCCACAAGGTTGTCTTGTGGGAGTAAGGACTCGGAATACGGAATCACAAGAGGATCTCATTGAAAAGGCACTAGGAAGAAGCATAAGTTTTAGGTTAACAAGATTCATCCTATTTCCAATCACTGAGTGGGACAAAACCTGTACAGTTTGGGATTTTTAGAGAAAATGCTGCAGAAAGATTTTGTTTTTCAACAGAAAAAGCATAAAAAGAAGAGTAAAGCTATTTTCAAATTATTAAAATGCTGAACATTTATACAGCAAAATTATATTCAAAACAGCAGCAGACAGAGTACATCCCATCACCATTGGCAAGGGACATGTAAAATGTTTATAAGGTTAACTATAAAACAATTTTACAACCAAAATATGAACAGGCCAATTCAAGTATATATATACAGAATATATTAAAATCATATAAATTATATATTTATACAAAGGGCACAATTATAGCAAAAAACTATAGTTGATTAAACAGAACTGAGCTTGAATGATCGATTTCATCTAGAGGTGTTATAAATTTCTCCCAAATTCTTTTTTTTTTTTTTCTTTTAAACCCGGATAGATTGATACCTCAGATACCAAGAGTACAGAAAGCAAAAGGAAAAAAACCAACACAAAAAATCAAAGAGTTATCATTCTGTATGAAATGAAACTAACAGCGGGCAGGGTACATCTCATATGAAATTCTGATTTAATTATTTCCATAGTAAACATTTATCAGCTCTCTTAAAAAGTCAGGAATTTCAAGTGATCCATTTCAGATGTACCACCATGGTGCGTATATTTGATTACATTTGAATGTTGTCTGATTTGCAAACATTTGAAAAAAAATGGATACAAACACATCTCAATCTGCAAAAAAAAGGTGACAGATGGCAGCAAGTTGAAAACTGAACAAAAATACTCAGCTGAACTAGAAACGATGCTCTCCTTACAGCATTTTGGCTAGTAAGCGAGCTTAAAAAAATAACTTATTAATTGCTTTTTTTTTTATTTCAAAACATAACAGCAAATAACCACAATCCATTGAAGCACTTGAGAATCTAAACAGTCCCATCAGTGGGCTTATATTTAAACACAAACTAAGTGCTCTCCTGAATTCAGGTCTACGTAAGTAAGTTCTGTATAAGTTGTACCTAACCCTTCTGTCTTGCTGCAGCACTCCCCCTTCATTAATGCAGTTTTTAAAGGCTCACTACATCTCAACTAACCCAATGGTCCTGGGCGTGCAAGGAGCAGTTAGGGCAAGCTAACTTAAGCAGAAATAAAAAGGCCAGACTACACGTATACAGAACATTGGCTTAGAAACCAGAACTAAGTATGTAAAAAAGTAAAGCAGTTTCACCAGATGCAGGTTAAACAGGGAAAAAAAGAAGAAAAAAATAATCAGCCATATACCATACATAATGAACAGTGGATATCTATTACACTGAAAGGAAATCAATGCAAACAGGATTTCCTCAGTTTCAAGTAATCCTTGATGCCTTTTTGGCCAGCTGTGTTATACCGTAATAGATATTTTAATAGCTTTTATACTCTACAATTTAGGCAGCTAATTTTTCTCTTATGTATCCAATTATCTCTAGTGAACATCCACCTGTGGTTGTCCACACATTCTGTATTAGCTCCTTGAGAAACTATTCAAGTTAAATTATATTGCAAATTAAAGACAGTTACATTCTGTATGTTCCTTCTAGATTTGAAAAATAGGTTTTTAAAGGCTCGTCAAAGTTTAGAAGAAAAAACCTTTCCATTAAAAAATCTGAGCTTAAAAAAATCATTAAGACATCTTTTTCTGATCCAGGGTACTAATAAAAAGATTACAAATATACTACAATTTGACCAAGAAGACTTCATGAATATGCTGCTTTTGAGCATGCAACACCACTGATATCTGTCAAATTCCAGGTATCAATGTATCCCAATTCCACCACAGTCCCTCACAATTTCCTTGTCAGTTCTCCGCCCCCACCCTACCACCTTATTAATAACATTGTAAAAAAAGGTAAAATCTAGAGTTAGTGGCAAAATCTTCACAGTAAATTGTTAAAAGAAAATGTTATTGTGGTCATTGCAAAGTGATATCAGTCAATTGGACCCTGAAAAATTAGCTTGATGCAGTTGTGTTCCCCAGATAGCTGTGTTGCACAAAAAGGGCAGGCAGCATGAAATGCATGAGTACCATGAGGCAGTGGGATTTGAGACCAGTATTTTGCAGATTTCTCAGAGCACACATGTCCACAGGGGGTGAAAGCATGAGTTGGAGGACCAGCATCCACATAAAAGCCCGCTTCACAACCAAGCCAGAGAGGCACATAAGGGCCAATGGTTCTGCACATCGGACATTCCCGCTCATTGGCTTCTGTGTCACTGCGATGTCCCCAGTTGTGATAGCCATGAACATGACCACAGCTGAGGTATGCCCAAGGCTGCTTCTCTTTTACCACATCTTTACGGTTGATGCTGGGAAATGCTAAAGTGTTTAACCCAACAGGACACTGTGGTCTGGCAGCGTTTATCTCCTGTCGCAGAGCTTCAATGTGTTTCTGAGTTGGAGTGTGAAACAGTCCATCTGCCGTTCTCCACAGAAGGGTAGCTCCACACAGGTCAATGAGAGACCCATCTTGTAGGACATTGGTCTCATTTTCTACCTAGTGGTAGAACACAAGGATAAGCAGTTAAGCCGGAGAGCTTTTACAGGCAACCAGGTTCGTTCTGTAAACACAGTGTCTTTCTCACCAAATTGTTGCCCTTCCTAGCATGCTATCGTACTTTGTCTTATCATTTCCTTGTGGCCCTCCATGTATCTGAATCCGTCTCTTTTCTCTTATCCTATATTTAAGATTATAATGAGCATTGGTCTCTTACTCTGTGCTTGTACAGGAGGTCCCAAATTTGCAAGCGTTACAAGCTATGGCAGTACTAATATACAGTTTTCCTTCCTGTAATTCTTTGGGAATGATATTACATCCGTAATCATTAACTTCTTCACAAATATCCTGTACCTCTGAGCACCCTATTTTTTTCAGTCAAACACCAATTCTGTGTATGCCTCTAACATTTAAGGTAATGTTTGCTGAAATATTCTAGCAAGGCTGAAGAGGAAACTCACCATTCTTTAAGGGCTGCATTAGCAGATTGTTCTACCAGAATCCTTTGCCCACATAGACTGGCAGAGCTTGTTCACACAGCAAAAGAGCTTTTTTGGACTAAAAACTGCTACCCAGGACAGACCAGCTGTCCTGCTACTCAAATACCTTTTTTTTGGCTTCTGGGAAGTGTAAAGCATTTTGCAGAAGCACAAACTCCCACAGTGTACCTCATCAACAGTGAAACTCTTCCACAGATACATTAGGGATGACAAATGCAATACTAACTACATAGACAGGTACTTTCATAGATTATCATTACAGCAGAGTGAATTACCAGTTGCATTTCTCAGATGACAAGTTCTACAACTGAAGCCACACAGGCTCAACTTGTCAACAATTAACCACCCCAGCTAGTTAGGCTCTTTATTTAATGAGGCATTCCATGGAAATACAGCCCCCAATGTACACTGCCTAAAGGCTTCTCTCATCTGACTAAAAGTAGTACTTAAAACATTTGAGAGATTATACCAAACGTATGTAGAACTTTGCTGAAATATTCTTTATTTTAATGTCACAAACATATAAGCAACTTGTGCTATTGCTACCAGTTCAGTAGTGATGAATGCACATTAGAAAGGTTCTTTATGAAATCAGAGGAAAGCAGAACTACTGCGTGGCTTTATACATTGAAAGTGCGTAGAAAATACCACTACGGCAAAACAAATACCCTGTACATTAAGTAGGTCACATGAAATCATCATGTCTAAGAATACTATGAATGACAACCAATGTGGCATTTACATTTTAATCCAGTTTAAATTCACAGATTAACTGTGGATCATCCTTGCACAAAACACCTAGATGGTACAATACAGACTACAGATAAAAGGTCACCAGTGTAAAGTACTTAGAGCAGAAAAATTCAGCTGTTCAATAGAGATGAGAGAAGCCTTGATTTGATGCACTTTTCAGATAATTCCTTCACAAACAGCACAGCAAAAGCTTTCTCATATGCAACGCGTTCAATTCATTATACAGTGTGCATTTGGTTTTATGAACTCAGTCAACAAATACTGATCACATCAATACCAGCGTGCCATGTAATTTTATTTAAATGAGAGTTCAAGTCATTTTGGATGCAGAGAAGGGAATTTGTTTTAGTATTGCCTTTCTTTAGCAGCACTAAAAAGGTGTTTTGCTAACCACGTACAAAGGGCGCAATTACAACATCATCCATTCCAGTCCCCGAGGCAATGTTTGCCTGCCACCATTAAAGTGACAAAGCAATTTATGTACTGCAGGCTGTCTACTGAGAGCAGAACAAAATATTCAAACTCTATGTTCCTAACTCCTTTAAACAGTCAGTTTTCTGCAAAGCCAACGGCAAAGGTGGACAGTCAGTTCAGTGCCAGTGTGTGGGATAACTCTAACAGCAACAAGCTAATGGGAACTCAAGGTAGCAGCAAAAAAGCAACTTTGGCATGAAGAGAAGGATATTCCCCTCGCCATGCACACTTTCTTAGTCTTTGAACTAACAGCTGGACAACAAAGTTATAAAAGAGAAGGGGCACCTACAGCTCTTGTGAAGATGCCCCTCGAACATCTGCTGACTTCCTGAATCCTAACCTGAAGAGCAGAATTGATGAAACATGAAGGCTTTTCCAGGTCTGCAGGTAGGAGAACGTTCTAACCTACCAGAGACAAGGAGGACTTCTGGGGAAGCTCATCTGCCTGACTGAAAATACCAGAATGTAGTATTTTGCTGGCCTACTACTATGTGATGGTGTTTGATTTCCCCCCTCCTCACCCTTTGAGGGGAAAAAAAAAAAAAAAAAAGATGAGCAATGATAGCATTCTCCTTCCTAGGCCCCACAGATCTTAGGAAGAGGAAAGAACAAGAGTGCTATGGGAATTCTGTTCCATCTCCTATGGAGAAGTGGACATTCTTTCATGGGAACCTCTCTCCTGGTTATGTATGCCACAGGTCTGAGGCAGCTGAAACTTTTCACATTTGTTAAAGGCAAAGGCCATCCTGCTCCACAGGATAACAGGAATATACTTATCAGGGTTTCTCCTAGCTTCCTAGTGCAGGTAAATCAAACAGAAGCAGAGTTATCCAAACTTGTTCTGCACGCAAGTGGACTCTTTGTACTGCAAAAGACAGCTCTCTACGCACTAGCTTCTAGATGTCCCCATGTCCCAGGAGAACATTTCAGAGATGGAGATCAAGAGCAAAGTTTTACACTCCATGCTGTTTCAGTTGGAAAGGTGACATTAGCAGATAACTTAGACAGTGTTCTCCTGCCTAAGCAGAAACAAAGCAGCAGTACAGAATCTACCATAACACACAGGTACTTAGATAAATTCAGTGCCCACTATGTAGGGACAATGCTATTACACTGCAGTCACCCTGTGACTGCTTCCCTTCAAAGCCAGGAAAGCAAATATCCCTTGTTTTGTTTTAACTACCAGTTACTTTCAACTTACCAGTTTCCCCCTTTGTTGAGCAGATCTGGTTTCCCGGAGAGTGTACACATCACCACAGACCGAGATCTCCCGCCAAACTCCAGGTTTGGATTCCTCAGTGAATCCTCCTTTTGGATGCATGACCAGCACCCCATTAGTTGTCAATCCATCCATGTGGCCATCAGGATTTTTCCATTTTGCTGCTTTTTCCTGTACGTGACAACCACCCCATAAAAAAAAGTTTGTTGAAAAGCTTATGGGTTAAAATTTTACACACCAAAGTTTTACCAGCACTGTCGAAAACACAACATTTCCTCACCAGACAGTAGTGCTGCGAAATAGATTTACAGAAAAACATTTTTAAGAATACTTTGTGCCAGATTGGTAACATCTTTCGCTTATGCATCTTCAATTACTATTCTATCTTAAATATTGATATTTTTAACTCAGTTGAGTGCCTCTGACTGCAGTTCAGGTAAGAGTTAAGGCCTCAGTGGTCTGCAGCGTAGATACTCCTAACCACTGTAATGGAATACCATTGCAGTGGGCAAATCCTCTTTCATAAAGCAGCTGATGTGCTCCTTGGTCTTCAGCGCTCAGAACTGCAACAGCCGCTTATTCACAACGAGTATTAAGAATATATCAAACAAACCTAAAGAAAATCCACTAACAGTTACTAAAGTAGAGCTGCATTGTTAAAGACAATTATGACCATGAATCCATGCTGGTAATAAATCAGGCACATAAAACTGCAGTTTCTACTTAACACCGCAGCTGGTACACTGGAGCAATAAAAGTCTAATGACAGTATAAGTTATCAACTAGTACAACGGAATGTTGGGACTTGAAAATAACAGAGAATAAAACCTGAGTTTGCTCATAGATAACAATTATTAGTAGTACTTACACCAAGAAATATATTTTTAGAAGAGTCAAATCCAGCTGCAAAAATCCTTGCTGTATATGGTGGGCTCCTGTCACAAACAATCCTGCATGCAAAACGGGATATGGTGCTTTGCGTAATCTGGGTTTCATCATTATTTTGACTTCCAGAAATAGTATCTGTTACTACAAAGTCTATGGGGCTTTCTGTTGACCTCCCAACCTGCAAAAAAAAAAAAATTAAGATAATAGTATAACTAGAAAGAGCCATAGAAATATCAAGCATTAAGGACACGATTTTACCAAGTTACTATTGATGGCATGAGTAAACTACTGTCTACTGAATTTTTGGATGGCAAAACGCAACCAGAGATTAATCTGTATTTGACCTAGGCAGAAAACATCACTGACATGGCAAGATAAATTTTCACTTACTACAACTGATGTACATGCTTGCCCAACACAGCTCCAATGAATTGTTTGTAGAGTATCATTAACAGCATGAAAGTATTATCACCTTGATATTTCATAATCCAACTACAGCAGATTACTTACCACTGTATTCAGTCAATTAAGAAAACACTAGCTTGAAATGACAAGTTTTATTCACACTTCTAGTTCCAAGTTAATTTGCCATGAAAATAAAGGACTTTTTTCCTTAGACCCAGAACTTGGTTATTTTGACACATCATAACAAAAAGCTACCCACCTTCATGTTTTCAGAATTTGTAGTTCTAGAGTAGAAGAGTTTTCAGGTAAAACACAAAATATGGTTAAATTTATTCCGAATCACGCACATGCATGACTAAAGAAATTAAAAGCCTTCTTCAGCAGAAATAAAACACAGCTGATCAGTAGACAAGAATATTTTTTTATCTTGACATCTATACATTTTAATTCTGAAACTGGAAACATCTAGGCATCTGGAACCAAAAACTTCATTACAAAATGGACAGAGGGATCTGACTGCAAATCAAACCTACTGTGAGACTTTATCAATACTTCTACAGACAAATAAGTGTTACACCAACTTTGAGCATAACTGGGAAAGTGGAGCTGAGGAACAAGGAGTGGAATAGAATTTTATAGACACTTTGTGATCAAACAGAAGAAAATTAAGAGTATTCTTCACATGAAACTACCTCCAATATCAGGAATCTGCATTTATATAAAATAACCTCCTCCCTAAATATGATCTCCTTGTCCCCCAAGAAGTTACATTCTGCTTAGCTTCTTGCTCTTCAAAGCCAGCTGTGGCAACGCATGTATGGTTCCATCATTGACAAACATCTCTGCAAACTAAATTTGCTGTGCCTGCTTGAACAGTAAAAGAAACATTATTCAAGAGTCAAGGAAAGTTATATTAACACTTAACCCTTGTCACAATGGAAGTGATAGCAACAGTACAGGGATCTCTCCCGTACTGCTCTTCTGCTTTCAGTTCTACTTTGCAGTCTTAAACTTAAGACATGAATTTTGGTATGTGTTCAAGTGACACATCCAGTTTCTTTCTCCATAGCACAGGTCACAACCTGAGTATAAAACACTATATGCTTGCTGCAAAAGCAGCACCAAGGAAATACTAAAAAAGGCCTAATCAAAAGTATGCACTTCAATTTTTCACAGAAAGTAAAGTGACTACTAGAATACCCAAGAGACAGAGTTCAAAAACTATTCAATATGGCACATTTCTGATTTATATAACTTGACAAGTTGAAGCTCAAACTTATAAAGCTATATTCTTTTTCTTTTTACAGTATTATTTTAACAGGCTTCTATTTCCACCCAATGCAAGTCCTGCTAATAGTCAGCACCGAACAGCAGCAGGAAGCTTATTCCTAACATTTGACTATTTTCTATTTGCATGCAAAGTCTCTTAAAGGATAACCGATAATGAACATGAAAATAAATTTCTTCATAACAAGTTTCTGCCTGTTGCAGTCTCTGAAATAGATTACTTGCAAAGCTTTTTAGATGCAAACAGAGAAAAGCCTGCCTTATTTTTCCTTAAAGGATGACAAAACACACAAGTGTTTGTTCCCAGTCTTCCTCCTATTGTACTGATCAACCAACATGAAATCCAAATATGGTTGGATATAAGGATTAAAATCTATCTATGAAGCTTTTATGTGGTGCTTAAAATCTCTAAAATTACATATAATATTTTAGGCAAAGTAATTTATTTATATTATCTCATTTGTGTCACAAGTATGTTTATACAATGTCAAATATTTTCAGTATTTGCCCCCCCCCTCCCCCCGCCGAAAATCAGTCTCATGTACTGTGCTATGTTTCAACACTAGAAATTTTAAGTGGCTTTCAAAACATGCCAATTTCATCATAATTTGTATCAATTCAAAATTTTGCATTTGAGATCAACAGAAAAGAAAGCCCCTCGGGAACAAATTAGGAACTTTATGCTATCAACATTTACCCACCAAAATTTTTAACACATCTGATCTTGCAGTCAGACTACAGTCACTACAGACCTAGTTCCACAATTCAAAGCTACTCTTCACAGACTTTATTACTCATTTTTCTTCCATTTTCCTCTGTAGCACAGAGACTTTCTTTTTAAGTAATTTCAGGCTATATTTTGGGACTTTTCTTGTTAACTGTGTCATATTCTATATTATTTCACTAAGTTACTTCCAATAACAAACCATAAATCTTCCAACTGATGCATAAGACAGCTTCTGTTGTCTACACTACAGGTTATTGTTAAAAGCTACGTAAAAGCCAGGCAGTCAATCAATTTGCTAGTGTCTACCGTCAATCAAAGAAGTGCTATTAAAAACGCTCACTCCTGAGACAAGGCAAAACCAGACAACCTGCCAGCAGATAATTTAACAGCTGCAGATTCTTGAACTTCAACAGAATTTCACTCTGGTGATAGGCAGAATTAGACCATGCATCTTCTGAAGGGCTGCTCTTTAGAAAAAAATAAATCCATTCTTCATATTGAATGTAACTGCTTCTTGTATAAACTTGGAGTTATTTAGGGTACTACCTACACATTTTGGCTCCCTATAGTGGTACAAACAGGTATAATCAACACATTCTCATTTAATCAAACCGTGAAGGACCAGGTTCTATTCCAACTGATGTATCATCAGAGTGGTTACTAAACTCTGAAAAAAATCTTCATTTTAAGAAGCTTACAGGTGCTGCAGCATATAAACTTTGGGACATGCCAGGGGGAACACATCAGTACCTTCTTTTTGTTATTACATGAAGAAATCTGACCTGGACATCACTAAGACAAAGGTACATAGTAGCATTTGTACACAAGTTTCACTACAGAATTACATTTAAAAATAAAACACAACACAGCAGAACAACAGTTCAATAAGTACAGTAGGAATAAATTAAAAAAGACTATTCTCAAAACTCAAGTACAGGATATAATAGAACCATGAGATGTCCAGGACAACCTTCCAAAGCACCTTTAAAGCCCTGCTGCAGGAGGTTGTGAAGCCATTTTGTTAAAGTGATCCAGCAGGAGATGTTTTTCAGGTGACTGAACAGGATACAAGTAAGCAGGGAAGACAAAAGCACCCACTTTTGCATTGTTTCCAGCTTTCAAGAAGTAAGAATATTCCTGGTTAGCACTTCAAGTAATATTTTCAAAACATTCTTAAAGGAGTATGCTTACTTGTAAATAACTCCTCATGTTACCTTCAGAAAAACACTAGTAGAAGAACAGGGGGTAGGAGAACTCCTATATGAAACTTCATCATCCATGCATTGAATATGCATATAACCTGCATGGTTAACAACTGATGCATGTGTGCATGGGGGGTTGGGTAAAGTACGTGCGTGGTAATTTAAACCACTTACATGTATGAAAATGTGGTCACTTTATTATGGAAAATGTCAAGAAAATTGGCATTTAGACAGCTTGGACACCACTCTTCAATGCCTTCTGAATTTCCTTACCATCCCTTGTATAGTCTCTTCACATTTTCCATACATATCTCACTTCTGATAAGTATCTACTCTTGCTTCTCGGTTATAAGCTTGGAAAGCATAAACCAAGAAGCTATTCTGGGTTTGCAATTTTCAAGTTTTTCCTGGTTTTGGAAAAATTGCAGGATACAAGTCACCAAAACAACTCTTCTCATGTTTTCCTTCAAAGAAAACAACTGACTATAGACTGTCAAAGTAGAAGGAGGAAAAAGTGACAGCTTTTTTGTCAACTGTGGATCTCCCTCACTTTCACAGGAGATCAGCTCTAGCCCAGCGGATTCAGACTTCGCAGATTAGAAATGGTACCCTGGCCAAGAAAACAAAGCAAGAACTCTGCCCTCCCTTTTCTCTATTTCAGGTCGCAGTAACGAAAGTGTTATACCAACCACCACCCTAAGCCTATCACACTCCTTACTCTTGTTACCTTAGTGAAGCCATGCAGTGCTACTATCCCATTTTACACAGGGAAAGATTGAGATTAAAAAAAGCTAAGTGATTTGTCCAAGATAATAAATGTTATCAGCAGCCAAGGAGGGACCTCAAGCCTCCTGATAATCCTCCTAGGATTAAGTTCCAGGGTAAGTTCCAGGCATTATCCTTCCCTTTTCAGCTTCCACATCTTTGCCATTGTTTTACAAAAGCCAGGAAAACACACTTGAAAAGAAAACAGACAACTCCAAGGACTGTCTATTCAAGTGATGCTTGATAGTGGCTTTACTCTGTGGATCAATAAAGACAACATGGAATTTGCCATCACGTAACACAGAGCAGCACAGAACAGCCCTCATGTAATTTTTTCCTCTGACTGTCCACAGTAAGATTACTGAGAAAAATTAAAACCTAATGGCTTATTTAAATAATGGAAACCTCTTCAGTAGCTACATGGCATTGCTTTAGCAGCAAAATACTGCCACAGTGGAACACACCATTCCTTTTCCCATTCTCACAGCTGTCAGCCCCTCTAGGCCAATGCTTGCAGTGCGAGTCTCAGAAGACAGCTACAGAGAGTGGAAACATGAACCGGGACACAGTGCTTGAGGTGAAGTTGAGCTCAAGTCACAGCATGACTGTCTACACATCTCAAGACAGAAGAAAGACTGCACCGAAAAGGGGAATTTTAGCAATACGGAAGCGTTAACCCTGACACACTAGCCATTTGAGGGAGCACCAGAAGGACTGAAGCACACTGCCAACACAGGATTCAGGTCAAAAAGTTTTATTGTTATTAAGATAGGATAGTTTGACCTGTTACAGGCCAAACCAGTCACATAACCATAGATGTGTGGCAGATAATTGCCTGAACCATCAGCAGCCCCTCACAGGTGAATTAGTACATGGGCCAAAATTAGGGCTTTTGTGACATTTCACCAGGCACTTGAGCGCTGCTGGAAGAATAAAGCATGATCTGTGTTTGTAAAGTGGTAGTAATAGATGTGCGCTCCAGCACTAGCCAGAGAAGTGCAGTAGGTCTGTGCGGCAGGCAGTGCAGTCCAGGCTGTCACAGTGCCCTACCCAGTGCAAGTTCCTCCTCTACTGAGCACCAATGGATCTCAAAGTGGAGCAGGGGAAGATACGTTGTTAGCTGGGCTACATTATGCTTAACAAGCTCATTCCTCACTGAGCTAAACCCCTGGTTTAGATCCAAAGCAGCCTTAACTAGCTCCCTTAACCTACTGTCTTAGACAAGGGTCACTTGAACAGCGGTCTGTGGAGCACTGCTTTGCCAATGCTGTATCTCCTCACGTGGGGCTGCCAGATTTCATTAGAGTGACAGCTAAGCACCTCAACCTACCTTTCTTTATCAATACCCACCCCACAAGCAAAAGCTGTAACCACCACTAGGACATTATGCAATCAGGGAAAGATTTTAATAAGGTCAGAAAAGCAGCTGCTTTGCTATTATTTATTTATTTTTTAGTACAAGTGGAAAAATTCCAGCTTTCAAAAATGGTTTTTCAAAATTTACATACAGAAAAAGTTTCACTGCAGCTACTCAAGGCACAAAAGCATCTTGCAGAGATAAACAAGTATCACACAATAACCCAAAAGGATGGGTTACGTTTTCCTTTTACTAGCTAACAGAAAAACCTATTTTGGTTCACTCTGGCTGTAGTCCTTTTCTAACTACCTATTCATGCAGCACCACATGAACAAGACAGTTTTTTTAATCAAACCCTATTTAGACCTTATCACTCCAAAGTCCCACTAGGAAATATTTATATAGAACAAAAATACAGAAGCCACATGAAGCAAACATTTTCATCTTGACAGAGCCACTTCCTCTTCTGTCAACACCACTCAACTGCTGACCCTTCTAAATATGAACGACTGAATAAGGAGGGATAACAATTCACGATAAGATGCTCTAATTACAGAGGTCACTGACAAGACAGACCAGATTAGTCTAGATTGGAAAAGGTTGTGGATGTTTGTTTTCCTCTGAGTTTGAGGTTTAAGTTTGCACAGAATTTCTGCTCTTCTGATATATTAAAAAAGCATTGCACAAGAAAATAAAACTTAGGTTATCAGAATGTTAGATGACACAGAAAACCACAACTGCATACATGGGAGGATGAAAACATGTTGGATACCTCAGAGAAACTCAGCACAGTCCCCTATGCCATATGATATATTTGCACACCCTTCAGGAACAGTTTTCTTTATGATTTTATCACCAGTTTGTGTCCTTTAGTGCACAACTCCCATATTCCCCTCCCTACCTTTGCTTTTAACTTTTCTCCTTCCCCATTCCATATCCTACTCCTATCCACTTCCTTTTTACTCTGGCTACTTGATTAACTGGAGGGTGGGGGTGTGTGCATTCTTGTGCTTATTCATCAATCCAAACAGAGCACACATTTCTTTCTAGTACTATTAGTACAATTGCTACGCTGTCCTTGCAGCAAAAGCAGGGTACAGTGAAAGCAGTAAGGCAGTAAGGACACTAACAGATGCTGGTGCTGGTTTGAAAAGAGCAGATGATACAAAATTTCAAAAGCTCCCGAATTAATACAACTGGGTTCAACCATCAAAATTCCACAGATCACAGAAAACCCAGAAGAATAATGCAGAACTGTGGTTCTATATGTTGCTTTTAAAAAACAAAGCATACATTGCATAAAATCTTACCTGAAACATGTCTGTATCTTTATCATGAGTATACTCCACTACAACAGTCTGGTTTCTGGACAATGTGTAAGAGATACTGTGCTGACCTTTACAGCTGATCGCCTGTTGAATAAAAATATGTCTATTACACACAGCTTCCACATAAATATTATAATCAAATTCATTTCACTATATAAACACCTTTACTATGATCAGGAAAAGCAGTGTATCATAACATTTTATTACAAGGCTGGGTGAACACATACAATAGGATTTTTTGGTTTGTTTTTAATTGAAAACCCAGGTTACACTTGTTTGTTTCTAGTTCAGTACCCAATACCTACCATTTTCATAGTTCAGACTCCAAACACATGGCTTTCTCTCTGAAATTATATTAAGTTCCTAGCCCTCATAGGACCTTGTACCCCAGCAAATACTTAGGTAGGGTTCTTTGGTTTATTTGTTTGTTTTTAAAGTGAGCAATACAATTGATTTCCAACTAAAAGTGACAGAATTTGAGAGATACCATTACAGTTGAGTAGATTTCTAGTTATATCAGAAAGAACCTAGCAATTTTATGTAAATTGTGACAGAGTGAGCACTTTCAACCTGTTTTTCCTCATTGAAGGGTACTCCTTACTTCCTGTCAAATTAAACTGATCTCTGTCAATATGGATATAGCAAAGACTAAACAGTATTTAAAACAAGACTAGAAGAGGACAACACCTGTTATTCTGCTGTGTCTAAGACTGAATTCTTTACTTCTTACAGCTTCCCAGGTCTCCACCTCTAGGTTGTCTTTTTCAAGAAGTCCAGTTGTCTTTTTACTAGTCCAGAAACTACTTCAGAGAACAGAACAGAGACATCACCCCAACACAGGGGCAGTCCGAACTCAGAAAGAAACAGTGAGAATGAGTTTTCCTTGATAAATAAATGCACAGCATAGTTGCTGCAGCAGAAAGCTGCAAGAAGGGGTACAGCAATCCTTTCAGAACCTCTGAGACTCAGCATACAAAGTCTTTGTAGCACTGATAATCATTTCTAAAGCTTAAAGACTTTAACACTCACTTCAAATGATTAAGTGGTGTCAAAGTGTAATTGCACTAGCTGTACAATGTAAATGCACTAGTAAAAGCTTCAGGACAGGGGGAAACAAGCTGAGAAACTACATCTATTGGCTAGCAGGGAAATATATGTAAATACAAGGTCCATACAACTGCACACACTTATGAAAGGTAATGACCATTACTGCTCAGAAAACACTTTGCAAACACTTAAGTATTGAATTAATAGGTTAAAGCTTTTTTCAGTTTTCTGCTAAGAGGGGCCATTTTCTAGAAGAGGTTCCCTCACCAGCTCCATTCTTTCATGCTGCTCTTCACCTACAAAATTCACAGATAGGGACGATTAAACTAAGCAACTAAGTACACTCATCTGTCTCACTCTCACAAAAGTCTAAATGATCCCAAAGCTACAGATCAATTATTAAACAAATCATTAAAAGTCTTGCTGAATGTTGGAGGTACTAAAAATACCTGTGTGCATACTAAAAGCCTACCAAGGGTTAGCAAAAGTATTTGACACAATTATTGAAAAAACATAACGGAAGAATGCTTTTTTTGTAAGCCTCATGCATTTACAGCAACGGATTAGAGACTACTTTTACAACATGCCTCTTGCTGAAAGCTCTTAGCAGCGCCAGCACCTGCTAAAGATTCAGGCTTAGGCGATAATACCTGGAGGCAAAAGCACTGTGCAAGATGACTTTTCCCAGTCTCTTCCTGTACTTTTTTTTCCCTGCAATGAAGCCTTTATCAAAACTTCAAGCCATAAAGTCTAATTTGCCTTATTTTGTTCCAACAGTTGTAACAACAGTTGAAAAGTTAGGTAAACATACTGGTAATCAGCAGTACTCAGATTCTAAATCTCCCAGTTTAAATTTACACTGTTTTTTAATAACTATTATGCTGACACACAGTATGTTGCAAAAACAACCAGCATCTCAAGATGCACTTCAAATGAAGTCACTACCACTTTGTGACCTGCTAGGACACTGAACCATCAGGCCAAACCATGTATCAAGAGCTTTTCCTCTATGCATGTTTGACAACTAACAAGCATATCTTCAGTCCTGAGCAGGTCTCAGGTGTTACTAGACTATAAATGAAATATTAAGTGATGAACAAGAGAGCCTTACACCTTGGATTTTAAGCATAATATGGCACTAATCAACTTATATTCATATTATCAGGTATCATTTCAAACATCAGAAAGTAATAGCTTTCACACACCAAATTTTCATTCGTTTCCACAAAACTGTGTTGCAGCTGAGGATACAATGGAGGACAGGCCCACCAGCAGCAGTTAACATGCTGGTCCTGGCTTCAGCTCCAGCCAGTCTGTGCAGCACTGATCACAAGCAAGTGGGTAAAATTCCCAGGCATGGATGTGTGCCTTAAGCTTATGCTTGTCAGACAAGATACTGGATCGAATGGAGACACTGGTGAGACCCAAAACTTAAAGTTTTAAGGTCTGATGGAAAAAACAAGGGAGGAAGTGTAAGAACTTCCAGAATTAGTAAGGTGACATCTTACACCTACAGAACTTAGATATGTTAATAATTCCCATTAGGTTGACCAGGGTCAGCATTTCCTCTGAAATATTAGGACAGGCCACAATTTTTTTTCTTTTTGTGTGCATTCCTTTACCCTCCCAGCCCTTCTTCCTCATCTTATTCCCCCCCCTTTGTTTTCCACTATTTAAACCCAGTTATTTTCAGTGTGAAATGCCTCATTTCATTTCCTGGAATTGTGTAATAATTTTTCAAAAAGCTAAGAACGTTATGGGTAATGTTTCAATTTGTGTGCTCTCACAGTCTGCTCAGCACCAACAGTTGCTCCAATTCAAAGACATCTTACAGGCATCTTAATTGCTGGTCTCAAAGCAATTGGCCACTTCCAAGTTAAAAAAAAGTAACAATATTTCAGGAACTACACAAACCAAAAACTATGAACTATTCACAGTGACTATGATAAGTAAAAGGTAAATATCTTAATAGAACAGTATTGTAAGTGGAATGCAGCCACGGGCAAAATGATGAAGGATTTTGACAGATTAAGGAGCTACAGAACCATACCACTACAAGTCCCAAAAGTGTCTGGCCCCGACCCCCTTAAGACTTGTTTGCAGCAACCAAAATAGGGAGGTTGCCTTTTACTGCTTTTAGCATTCAAATTTCTAGACTTTTTTTCTGCCAGTAGGATTTCCCACCAGGAAAACCTTGATGCTGTCACATAATTGCACTGCTGTGGTAACTGAAGTTGTGAGAAAAGCCATGACTCTCACAAGCATACAGCAGCATCACAACTTCTAGCAGATGGTTTCAGATTTTTGAGCTGGACACTATCACTTCCACCTTCCAGGTAGGAATTAAAAGACAAAAGAACAAAAACTGGGCACCAAAGCTTACCTGTATGTCCTCACCTCCACCCCAAGGCTGCCAAAATCCACCAGAGCAATAGTGCATATTTTCAAAGCTTGTACTCAAGAGTCAATCAAACTTTTGAGTGTGTGAGCCAACACCACCTTAATTTGAGACAGCTTTCTCATAGCTTTTTGGTTCTTAAAAGTTTAATGAAAACCATCAATTGAGCACAGGAAAAAGCAACAAAACAACACTAGAATTAATCCCCAACAAGAACAAATGCTGGAAAAACCCTGCTAACATATATAGCCAAACAAATTAGAAATACATGGCTCCAGACTAGCCATAGCATATGCCATTTCTTGTCCAACAGGAATGCTGGTGGAGATACAGGCTAGATTAAGTCAGCTGCCTACACAACAGTTTTATATGGTTAACTGTCTCAAGCTGCTGAGTTCAAGTAATTCCCTTTGGAGGAAACAGATAGCAAAGTAGAGACTAACTGACAAAAACCCTGTGGAGGAATAGAGGGAACAGATAACAGTAGCAAGAAATTTTTCCAGAATAATTCCACTGCTAGTGACTCCATGTCCACACTGGTGCTAAGGGATTTTAAGAAGTCCAAATGCCATATGAAAGCAACAAGGGAATCCTGAGGTGCCATATTCCACTTGGCAGGAAGGGACACATTTTCCCAGCATCTTTCCAAGACAGAGCTTGTGTTTGCACAATAATCCATCCATCTCCATAAGGCTTTCAAGTTGGAGGACAGCGTGCAGCAGCTCCAAGCCTCATTGTATGTTGAGCCACTTTACCTTAACAGGAAGGCTCCTCTCCTCCCCATCACTCAAACACCACAGCTACCCTCCCCACCCCCCCCTTTTTTTCCCCCCCCCCCCCCCCTAAGATTTGTGTTCCAGTGATGTAGGGGCATCAAAACTGCCATACATTACCAAGAGACTGAAAGGAGCTGCATCTGAGAAGGCCCACTACCTCACCCCCATGCTAACATGGCCTAAGCAAGTTGGGTTTTTTTTAGTTTTATACTTTGCTAGTTAGCAAGTTTTCAGTTATATTCTTCCTGCTGGCTAGAATTACAGTTGGCCTTGTTTTTTTTTCCCCTGCTTCCTTATACACACTTTTCTTTCTTGCTCCTTTCTCTCCATTTTGAGAACAAAACCTTGTTCCAGCACTCTGCACTCATAATCAAAGCAGCAGCTAAAGGCTACGGCTTACAAATATGTCAAGCCTCAGAGGAACTAAGATCAAATAGAGACTGCTTTCCCCACAGCAATGCTGTAACTCAGCCAGCCCCTGGAACATCGCAACCCACCTGAATTCTTCACTCTCCGCTTGTTCCCCTGGAAAAGTAGTTGCTATCAGTTTTACCACCACTTCAAGAACTGAGAAAGAATTCCCTCACCCCACATACAAAAACGCCTTGCAGATAAGTGGAATAGAAATACACAAAAGTTTCATTTCAAAAACAGTATTTCTTAGTACTCTGCTTTTTTAGCAAAGATACAGAAAAAGAAGGTAACATAAAACTAAAAGAAATAAGTCTCCAGACTGGACATAGGCCCAACTGACTGGCAGCGATGCACACCACATTTGCAAACACACAGCGTTACCCAGGAGCGTGCGCTGCACTGAGTGATACCACTCCAATCAGAATGCCACCTCTCCCCTAACCACTGAT